CGCGGCCTCTCCTGGCCCCGCCGCTGCCCTAGCCGACCCTCCCCTTCCTGTCCCCAGCTGGAGGTGGGCATTGCCACGCACATCCGGAAACTCGTGGACGTCAAGGAGTCCGTCCTGCCCGAGGACGTGAGTGCCCACCTGGCTGCTGGCCCTTGCGCCTGTGGTCTGAGACCGGAGAGGAGTGCGGGTGGTGGTGGCCGGGAAGAGTCCCCCAGACGTGGCAAGGCGGCTGCCTCCCGGGAAGCTGAGGGGCAGCCGGGCCCCCCAGAGCCCCCCCCAGCACTGTGGTCCCATGGGGCCGCACGGGGCAGGGGGCGCGGGCCTCCTCGGCGGCCGGTGGCAGTGCAGGCCCCCCGTGGCCGGTGGGGGCCATCAGCGCCTCAACTCTTTACTGTGAAATGGCCGCTCGACCGTCGCCGCGCGCCGTGCCAAGGAGAAAAACGCAGCACGAGAGGGAGACTGGCCAGGGCTTGTGTGTGTGGCAGGGTCAGGGAAGGGTGGCGGAGGGTGACGGCTGAGGCAGATCTGGGGTGCGGGAGAAGCTGAGGCCTCTCAGGGCAGCGGCAGCCGGAGGCCCGAGGCAGGCGGTCCAGGCGCTGGGGGGTCGCAGCCATGGCGGGGGTCGGGCTGGGGCAGCCTGGTGGGATAGGCTGTGGGAGAGGCCCGAGCCGGACGTGCCCCCAGGCCATCCTGCCGCTGATGAAGTTCCTGGAGGTGGAGCTCCGCTACTTGAACACCAACCTGGTGCAGGAGAACTTCAGCAGGTGTGCAGCCGCCCGCCCTCCCCTGCCCCCCCCGGGCCCTGCGGGCCCAGGCCCTGGAGCTCACCCCTCAGCAAGCCTGCCCGCGCCCCCTAGGCTGAGCCCATGGGCCCGCTCAGCCCGGGCCCCTGCAGGGACTCCAGCCCTCCCGACCCGGTTGGCAGCTGGGGTCCTGCCCCTGCGGGCCCGGGGCCTCTCCTGAGGCAGCCAGCGCCCCGCCCTGCCGGGAGGCTGTGCCCTGAGCCATGAATCCGAGTCCCATCACAGGGCCCTGCAGCGGCTTCTTCACTGACTGCCCCGAGGGCCACCGTGGGCCATTTGTTCAGGGTTTCACTTAAACAGAAACAATCCCCAAGAGCCGGGGCCGCCCCAAGATCCGCAGGAGGGAGCTGCTGCCAGATTCTCTTTGTTTTTTATTTGTGCACATAAGAGCTGGGGCGTGGGCCAGAGGTGCGGGGGTGAGAGGACTCACCAGGGACAGTGGGGTGCAGAACAGGCGGATCCACTGAAGCCCACTGCTGAGGGGGCAGCGGGGAGACAGGAGGGGTCTGCTGCGCCCTGGGGTCCCTCCCTGGCCGGGTGAGACTCACCCCGCGCCCCGGGGGACCCCTCTGCCCCGCACTTGACTCGGCTTAGCTTCCTGCCTCCACCTCGCCCGGACCTTTGGGTCATCCCGGGAGCTTGCGGGCTGCGCTGCTCCCGCAGGAGTCGGGGGTGGTGCCCGCGTGGTCACTCCCGTGTCGCTTCACGGTTCTGGCGTGGGACCAGCCCCCGTGTTGGCTGGGGTTTGGGGACCACCGAGGACCCTGCGCTAGGTTTTGAGACGCGCTGGGTGGGACTGGCCCGCCCGCTGGGCCTCTGCGCCCCCTCCTCACCTGGAGGCAGGTGGAGGTGTGAGGGTGGGCCCGGACCCTGTGGCTGCCCTTCTCAAGTGCCCGCCCCTCCTCCCCGCCCTCCTGGCCGCCCCTGGCTCCCCGCGCCCAGCCTCCTGGCCCTGCTCTGGACCCACACGCTGGCGCTGCTGGTGGAGGCGGCGGCCTCCCGGCGGACCTGCCCCCTGGCCTCCCGCAGGCTGAGGGCGGCGCTGCAGGTAATGACGCGGGTGGCAGGGGCGCCCCCCGCCCGGAGCGAGCCCGGGCTCACTGCCCCTCTCACCCCTAGAACCTGGAGATCTGCTTCCACGCAGAGGGCTGTGGGCTGCCGCCGGAGGCCCTGCACACGGCCCCCTTCCAGGTAGGGCCCTGTGGGCCGCAGGGCGGGGCAGGCTGTGCAGCCAGCTCAGACCTGCGTGAGCTAGGCGACCCTGCACCAGTGACGTGGCACCTTCCCGCGAGTTTGCCCAGCGAGGGGGTGCCTGGTGCCCGCGGCGTGGCCCCTGCCGTGGCCCGTCACCCCAGGCTTCCCACCGCGACTGGACACCTCACCCCTGCGGCGAGCTCCTGAGGGCGCGGGCCAGGGCTGGCGAGACCGGGGGGTGAGCTCCTGGCCGCGCCCTCCGCAGGCTCTGCTCCAGGACCTGGAGCTGCAGGCCGCCTCCAGCCGGGAGCTCATCCGGAAGTACTTCTGCAGCCGCCTCCGGCAGCAGGTGAGGGCCCTCTCCGCAGCGCACCTGAGTCCCGGCCGGTATCCGCCTGCCCAGCTCACGCTCCCACGCCCACCCCCAGGCGGAGACCACGGAGGAGCCGCTGGGGGCCGTGACCGTCAAGGCCTCCTACCGCGCCTCGGAGCAGAAGCTGCGTGTGGAGCTGCTCAGCGCCTCCAGCCTGCTGCCCCTGGACTCCAACGGTGAGGGAGGCTGCCCACGGCCCCCCAGGTCCTCCAGCCCGCTCCACAGCCCGCAGGCGCCCCAGTGCGCTTCCTCCGGGTGCCTGGAGGGGGCAGCGCTGCCGGGCAGGCACCGCTTCCGGGCTGGGCCCGGGTGGGCCGGGAGAGGCCCAGTCAGCGTCCCTCCTGGGACCGCTCTCCTCAGGCTCCAGTGACCCCTTTGTCCAGCTGACTTTGGAGCCCAGGCACGAGTTCCCTGAGCTGGCCCCCCGGGAAACGCAGAAACACAAGAAGGACCTTCACCCTCTTTTTGACGAGACCTTCGAATTGTGAGTGTCGCCCACCCTGGGACCGCCTCAGGCCCGCTCCCCTTGGCCACGGCAGGGACGCCCCTGCCAGCACCAGGCTGGCGCCCTAGGAGGCGCCTTGCTGGCTCGGGCCGGACCTGCTCCCAGGGCACAGAGGCCGGGGGGAGGCCGTCTCCGGGGCCGTTTCCAGCTTCGGCCCAAGCGGGCGCGTCCTGTGGCCGGCCAGGCCTAGCGAGGCCTCTGCCGACCCGTCCCACCGGCCAGGGGTCCTGTTCCTCCTCGCGGCCTTCGCCTGGGCCTGTCTGCAAGAAGCAGGGGCGCACGTGTGGGAGTGGGGGGCTGACCGCTCAACGACTGCCCCCCCAGCCTGGTGCCCGCCGAGCCGTGCAGGAAGGACGGGGCGTGCCTCCTGCTCACCGTGCTGGACCACGACACGCTGGGGGCCGACGACCTGGAGGGGGAGGCCTTCCTGCCGCTGCGCTCCGTGCCCGGCCTGACCGGGGCCGAGGAGCCCGGCGAGGTGCCTCAGACCCGCCTGCCCCTCACCTACCCCGCAGCCCACGGTAGGCCCGGGCCCCACAGGCCCAGGGTGCGGGCCTGGCCCAGCATGGGGGTGCAGGGGAGGGCCGGTGGCTTGGGAGGGCCCAGGCGGCCCAGCGAGTGGGGGGAGCCGGCCTCCTGGCCTGGGGAGCAGTGGCTTTAGCGGGGCCCGGAGTGTGGCTCCCCCTGGTGGCAAGGTCGCCGCCACCTTCACCAGGGAGCTTGAGGACCAGGGGCCCCTGGCGAAGGGTACCCCCGCTTGGTAATAGGACGGGCCCCCTTTGTGTGCGCGGATCACGGGCCAGTTCTGAGCGCGGACTAGTATGACGTTGAGGCCCACAGCCGCCCAGCGAGGGGCGAGTGGGTGGGTGCCTGGGGGGTCAGCAAGCCTCGGGTCTCAGAAGCGGACAGTGGCAACTTCAGGCCCATCTCAGCCTCTTGCACTACCGCTGGGTCTGCGTCAGGGCAGCACCGCGCACGGGCTGGTGGGACCCCCGTGGGCTTCTAGGCCAGGCTGGCTGGAGAGCGGAGGGGGCAGCGCTGGCCCCGGCCCCGGCCTCTCCTCCAGAGCCAGACCCTGGGCCTCTCCGCAGGGGACCCAATTCTGCAGCTGCTGGAGAGCCGGAAGGGGGACCGAGAGGCCCAGCTGTTTGTGAAGCTGCGGCGGCAGCGGGCCAAGCAGGCCTCCCAGCACGGCCCTCCGCTGGGGCAGTAGCAGCGGAGGCTGGGCCGGGGGGCTCCTACCGGGGTGTCCAGGGAGTTCGCCAAGCGCCAATTAGAGCGGGTCTTCCCGTGAGCAGGACCCGCGGGGCAGGAGTGGGGTGCCGCTGGCAGTATTTATACTCTCTGCCCTTCGACCCTCACTGTGGCACTGGCCGCGGCCTCCGCTCAGTCCCAGCACGGGGGGGGCGGCAGCCATCTGGCATGGCACCTCCTGTCCTGCTCCCCTCTTGGGAACAGCTGCCCTGAAGAGCAGGGCTCAGCTGACCCCGGCCCCTGCAGGAGCCCGGTGCCCTGGGCCCAGGCTCACAGGGACAGAGGCTGCAGGCACACGGGCTCCCAGGCAGGGAGAGGAGACGGACTCCCAACAGGCCACAGCAGGCCCGGGGGTGGCCGTCGCGGTGAACGCTGCCCAGTCCGCTCCTGAGGGGACACCCAGGCTGAGGTGCCTCCGGCCACGGGCCTCCAGGTTCTGGGGGGTGGCGTGAGAGGTGGGGCGCAGAGGCCAGCCTGGCTAGCTGTGTCTGCTGTCACCTCCTCCCTGGGACAGAAGTCTGTCACCTAGAAACTTTCTTGGCAAAAATAAAATCAAAAGCGAAACCAATCCGTCGTCCTTTCAGACAATGTACTGCCGGCCTACACTGGGCCCAGGCCGCATCAGGCCACCCCAAATCCCACCCCAACCCTCAGGAGCCCTCAAGCTGCCACCACAGAGCAGGAGGGTGGGGCAGTTGGCATCGTCTGTCCCTTGGTCAAGGGCTTTGAATGAAACTATCTGGCAGGTCGGTTTCCACCCGGCAGTGGCCTGAGCTCCAGGACACCATGCCCGGGGCTGGCCAGGGGCAGGCAGAGGCCAGTGGCTGTTCTGACAGTGGGGCTCAAAGGGTGGGGGCCCAGCCCTGCCTGGGAGGCGCCGGCCAGGGCTTAGGGTCTGAGGCTGGTGCTCAGGCTCTGATCTCGGTTCAGTTGCTTAACATCTCCACAACGCACCACCATGGAGGGCGGGGTGGGGACAGGCGAGACCGCCCCCAGCCCCTTTCAGCTCAACCTGAGACAAACAGGGATGAGCCTGCTGGGTGGCTCCCTCAAGGCCCCAGCAGGCAACGGGCCAGCCGGAAAGGGGGCGGCTCAAAGGTGGGAGCCTCATTCCTGAGCGCGAGAGCGGGGAGGGGAGGCAGGTGAGGGTCTGTCTGAGGCTGCGGCCTGGGGCAGGGCCAGCCGCCCGCGGGAGCCGCAGTTCAGGGCCCTCAGGTCGCCCCCCCCATGCTCCCCCCATGTAAACAGGCTCCACCCCATTGCGAGTTCATATTTTATTTCCAATAGGTTTGGAGCTTTGTTGATTTTTGCATTTTTGTAAAAAAAGTTTTCGCTTAATTCATTGAAAGCCCTTTCGTGCTGAGCCCAAGGGACGCGGGCTGGGCGGCCCCTGCAGCCCTCTTGCTCCGCCCGGCCCCAGAGCGGGAGTGGGCGGCTCCCCTCCGCCTGCGCTGCCCTCCCGCCCCGCTGCATGTCTGTACAGAACAGTTTTTAAATGGAAGCTAAGACACAACATACACCGGACAGGCACGCACACATGCACACGGCGCCGCCGCAGGGCGTCAGCTGCGCTCAGAGCACCGAGGGATGCACGGGCCTGCCGGCCGCGCCCTTGGTCCCCGCAGTCCGCACTCCCCACCAATGCCTGCTAGCTGCCAGGGGGAGGGCGGCCAGCCAGGGCCGGCCGGGGGCCAGGGAGAGCACTGGGCGCCGGGCCTCAGGCGCCCATGGGGTGAGGCCCGGCCCTGCCCCTCAGGAGCCCCGCGGGCCGGGCCGGGCGGACGGGGCCAGCCCGCACCAGCGCGTTTGGGGCCGAGGTGCCAGGCTGGCTGGGACCCCGCCCTGAAGGCTGCCGGGCCCGCGGCCTTGGGCTTCCCAACTGCCCTCTCAGGCCCCCGGAAGAAGTTAAAAATAGTTAGTTCCTACATAAAAAAGAGACAGAGACAGACTCCCTGCCAACCTGGTGGGGCAGAGGGGCTCGTCTCTGCGGTGAGAGGTGGGGAGGGGCTGGGCCGGACTGCAAAATAGGCTTGTCTTCTTTTAAAAAGTGCTTGGTGATAAGTCTGTTTTAGAGTGTGTGTCTATATCTACATACAGATATACACACGGACACTGTCACACACTGGCCAGCTCGCACTCCGCACGCGCACGGATGTATACATATCCATGGTCATATACATATACATACATACATACATACATACATACATACATACATATATATACTTTAAAAAGTCCTAGTGGGGGGTGGGCCGGGCCGGGCCAGGCCTGCGGGGTCACGACTGGAGGGCGTGGGCCCGGCCCGGCTGGCAGACAGGGCACTCGCTGCCCTCGGCACAGAGCTCGCACAGCACGGCGTGTTGGCACGGCAGCACCGCTCGGTTCTGCTCCTGACACTTAAGGCATTTCACCGACTGCATGTGGAACACGGCCTGCGGGCGACAGGGCGGGTCAGGGAGCGGCCCCAGACTCCCACGCCAGCCCCGGGCCAGAGGGGGGCCGGCAGCGCCACGCTGCGGCCAGCCCCTGGCCGCACACCCGAGCGGGCCGTCCTCTCGCGCCGGCTGCGCGCAGCGCTCCCAGGGCACCTGGTGGCCGCCCGCCCACCTCCTAGCTCTTCCCGCCTGCTCTCGGCAGGCCGCATCAGGCTGGCCTAGCTCTCAGGCAGGCACCGGCGGCTGCCCTGGAGCAGCAGGACTCCTCCAGAGGGGCCCGCACGCGGGCTAAGGTGATGGACACCCCCGCCCGGAGCTGCCTCACCCGGGGCTGACCTTATCCACTTGCTCCAGGTGGGCCCGTAGCTGCTTCTGGAGAGAGTAGAGGGTGGAGAGCGACAGGGCCTCCAGGTCGGAGAAGGCGGGCAGGGCCTGCGGGTCGGGGCCCGAGTGCAGCCGCTCCAGCTCCTCCTGCAGCTTCTTCACCTGAACCTCCAGCGCGTCCCGCTGCTCCCGGGCCAGCTCACACTCGGCGCCGGCCACGCTGGCCCGCTCACCAGCCTCCTCAGCCTCCTTCTTCCAGGCATCACAGGCCTGCGGGCCCAACAGGCAGCACCTCGTCATGATGGGCCCGTCCCGCCCCCGCCCCCCGAGGGCACATCTCCGGGAGCCAGTGTGGGCCGCAGGGGCCATGGGGCCTGCTGGGGAGCCGGGTCAGCTGTCTGGGGAGAGGGCAGGGCGCCTGCAGAGAAGAGAGGTTTCAGGAAACCCAAGAGACCCCTGTGGGCAGGAAGGGTGGCATGAGGAGGCTCTGTGCTGGCCAGCTCCTGCAGGGCGGGCAGGCTTTGGCAGAACAGGGCTTGGCACAGAACCTAGAACCCTGGACCCAGCAGGGCATCCTGGCCTGTGCACACCTGGGGCCTGACAGGCACGGTCATGATCCTCCCCACGGGGAGACATACGACCCCTGGCTTCTCCCAACCCCCAGCCACTTGGGCCAGATGCCAGCTGCCCTGGGGACGGCGGTGGGCGTGGGCCGCACCTGCTTAGCCTGCTTCCAGGACTCCTCCCACTGCTTGATGGTGCCATTGGCTTCCTCCAGCTCTTGCCGCAGCCGGGCCAGCTCAGCAGCCCCCGGCCCTGACAGGAAGGCAGGGGATGTGCCCGGGGAGAAGCTTCCAGAGGCAAAATGCTCCCATATGCTGCTGTTCATCCCATTCAGACCTGCCAGAGAGGGGGAGGAGCATCACAGCCGAGGGCCCGGGCCCTGACCAGCCTGCCTAGGACTGGCTGAGCGGCTCCGGGGGGCAGCCTGTGCCAGAGGGCCTGTTCAGGGGAGGCCCACTGTTCAGGGGATGGCCCTGAGGCTGGTGGAGCTGGCTCTGTGGGAGCGAGAAGCTGAGCCAGTGCCGGAGAGCCCCCTGATAGGTGACGGGGTCCCTGGAGAGCGCCCCGGTAGGTGGTGGGGCCGTTATCGGGAGGGCGGGAGGCTCCAGAGCCCTTTCCCTGGCCAGCAAGGCTGCTCCCGCACCCCCATCCTCCCTCGATCCACGGGCACTTGCAACTCTACCTGCCCTGTGCTCGCCCTGCCGGCCAGTCTCGCCAGGGGACGCCTGCCTAGCTCCGGCCTGCCCCACACCCTTCCGGAATGCTTCCTTGCGCCCTTCCCCACCAGCCCAGCCAGGGCGCCAGGGCAAAGTGGGCTCGGGACAGTCTGTCCTCCAAGCCACACGCGCACACCCCATGGGCCCCAGCGGCGACCAGCGGCGTCTGCCCTGAGATGAGCCCCTTGTGCGGGGCGCCTGCGCCCACACAGTGGCGGCCCCTAAGTCCGGGCTGCTGTCTGTGCCCTTTGCCGCCCACCGGACCCTGGCTCCAGGCAGGCAGGGCCAGCGCGTCTCTCCACACCCGCAGGACGCTCAGTGACTGTGTGGGTGGCGCGAGGTGGGGCAGGTCCGGCTGCAGTCCAGGGGCCTCCAGAGCGCGGGGCCAGTCAGACACAGGCACACTGGACGGCTGAGCCGAGGGCACAGGACAGCCACCCTCACTCCTGCAGGGGCTGAGAGACCCCCGCGCTGCCCCACCTCGGGGGTCAGGGATGGTCTCAATCCTGGTCAGGTGAGGCAGGCTCGGCGCGCGGCTCCCTCAGGGGAGGCATCGGGTCAGGGTTAGGTGATGCGCACCGAGGTCACCTCCGCGAATCCCCAGGCCGGCCCCTAGCCGCGGGCCCACGAGGACCCTGGCCAGGCCGCAGCCCTGCATCTAACCCCCCGAGCGCCAGCTGACACGGGGCCAGTCCCGGGCCCGCACCAGCTTCAAGGCTGGCGCGGATGCCGCCGGCCGCCTGAGCCTGGACACAGCGCACGCGTGTCCCTCGGCCCCCGTGGGCCTGGTGTCACGAGCGGGGCAGCCCGCTGCGCCCGAGGCTGGGTTCTCCCGGGGCTCTAGCCCTGGCTCCGCCTTCGCCTGACCCCTTCAGGCCTCACAGCCACTGCACAAGGTGCTGCTGCCATCACGCCCTTTACAACAGAGGAGGTAGAGCGGCTCGGCCGGCTGTCCGGGTCCACTCAGCCGAGAGCGCCGTGCCTGGGCTCCGTCCTGCCCTCCGAGGCCAGAGCCCCTGCCCCGTGCGGGCTCTGTGCTGCCTCTGACCTGGGCCCCCACACACCAGGGCCACCGGCCAAACGCCCAGCTTCTAGCCCCCTCAGAAGCCACAGCCCCTCTTACCCAAAGACCCGTGTGATGCCGAGGTCCCCAGAAATGTGTTTTCTGACTGGCTCAGGTGGGCCTGGGGCTGCTGCAGGAAATGTGAGGAGAGACTGACAGGAGGGGAGGGGGAGGCCGAATGGAAGGAGGCCGAGCTGCCCAAGGAGCCGGGGATGTTGACGGGCGCAGAGCTCTGCAGCAAACTGCCGCCTGCAGGAGAACGGGGCGGGGTGAGGCCAGCGGGCGGGGTGAGGCCAGCCGGCCGGGAGCCCCCCACCGCCGCGCCCCACCGCGGCCCAGTACCGATGGTGATGCTGCCCGGGTGGGGTGCTGCGCTGTTGTCAAACGTCTTCTCCAGGGCGGCCACCCCAAACTCGTTCAGGTCCAGGTCATCGAGGGCAGACTCTGGGGACAGAGTGGGCGGGTGTGAGCCCCTGGCCTCACCGTCCACACAGCCCCAAGGCCCCAGGCCCCACCCCCTGGGCCGCCTGCCCGCGTCTGCACACTGAGCAGCTGGCCGGCTCTCGAGCCTCAGCCCGGCCGAGCACGGCCCACAGGAGGCAGACGCCCTGGGCCGCCTCCGGCAGCGGTCTCATCCTGACGCTGCAGCCACGTACCAGCCTGGAGCCTCAGCAGCTAGTGCTGAGGGGGCGGCCTCCACTGCACCCCAATAAGGAGCCTGGGAGGGGCGAACAGTGTCCCTTCCCGAGGACAGACCCCCTGCACCTGCCCCCGCAGTGCCGCAGTGAGACCGGCACGAGCGGCCCGCAGATGGCCGTCGGAGGGGCAGCAGCCCCGGGCCCTGCTCCGCGGCTCACCCGGGACCCCTGCGGCAAGGGCGGAAGGATGCCACCCGCCCACGCGAGGCTGCCCCGAGGCTGCTCGTGGCCCCCTGCCGTGGCTCGTGTCCCTCTAGCTCACGGGGCGCAGAGGGCCCAGCCACACCCCCCGCGGCAGAGGCCGGCGGCCGCGGGGGTGCTGCCAGAGCCGCCCCCGAGCCCTGGGCCCTGGCCAGACCCGGTCCCGACGCGGCAGCAGAAGCAGCCTAATTACCTATGACGGACTCTACCGTGTCGCTGGTGGGGTAGAAGGGCAGAGCATTGGCGTTCATGCCAGGGACGCTGCTGGTGCCCGCTGGGCTAGGGGGAGTAGCTGCCAAGCTGGAGGTGATGCTAGAAGAGATGCTTGAGGTCAGGGGGCTGCCCACGGGGAGGATGCCCAGCACGTCCTGCAACGAGAGCAAGGAGAGGCGACGGGAGGTCACTGCGGAGGCCGTGGCTGGCGCGGGGGTGGGGCAGGCTTGTGCCTGCGCGGGGCGGGGCTGCCGCTCAGTGTCCCCCAGAGGCTGGCGCAGCGTGGAGGCTGTGGGCCTGCTCACCCCTCAACTCCTGCAGCAGAGCGGGAAGGCCAGTGGTCAGCAAGTATCCCTTGAGGCGAGGGCTGGGGCCCTACCTCTGCCCTGCCCATGCCCATGGGAAAGGGGTGCCCCACTCCCTGAAGCCTCCGGGGTGCAGGGCCCAGAGCTCTGTACCTGCTTAGGCTGAAGCAGAGGCTGCTCTTGACTCCTGGGTTCTAGCGAGTGGGCTTTTAACTTGGCCTGAGAGAGAAGTCAGGGAGTGGGCGCTAAGGGGCGCTGGGAGCCCGCGTCCAGGCGTCCTCCCAGGTACCAGCCTGCCCGGCCCCCCAAGGCACAGGCCTTCCTACACAGCCCCGCCCTACCTCACTCCTGCCCCCCAGCCTGGGGATCGGGGTGGCTGCTCCTCTCCCCCCAAGTGACTCCAGCTGCAGCTAGCCGATGGGCCGGGCCCTGCTCCCTCGACCCTGCTCGGCCTCAGAGGCCCGGCTCCTGCCAGCTGGCCCCATGGCACGGGGCGCTGGCCAGCCCTCCAGCCTCCTGTCTCCGTCTGCAAAGGGGGCTCTGCTCCTCAGCTGCTGTGAAGGGCTGGGGAGTGCGGCTCCTCAGCTGCCACACCGGCTGCAGTCAGCCTTCTCAGGCCCCAGGCAGGAGGCAACTAACCCCGTCATCTCTGGCGCGTCATCTCGGCCCTTACCTGGCATTTGAAATTTTTCAGGTACTCGGCTCCCACCTGGTCTTCCCTCTCGAAGCCGGGTGCCTTCTTATAGCTGCCAGGGGCGAGGCCGGGCTCCCCGGGAAAAACGATGCCTTCCAGGTTGGGGGGCTTCCTGACGGAGCCCGGCGGGGAGCCGCAGAGGTTGGACGGGCTGCCTAGGCTGCTGTTTCGACAGAGGAGCTGCGGAAGAGGCGAGCGCCGGTGAGCACCCGGTGGCTGGGGGCAGCCCGGCCTCCTCGCCCGCGCAGCGGCGCCTGCGACAGCAGCAGCCACCACCCAGGGGCCCCCAACCTCAGGACTGACCAGCGGCCGTCCCCAGCTCTACTCAGATGGCCCCGCACAGGCTGCAGGGAAGGTGCCCCCCACCCCAGCGCTGACAGAAAACCCTGGGTCACAAAGGGCAGAGCCCCTTGGCCCGAGGCCAGCCTCCCTGCCCCGACAGGCCGGGGGGGCGGGGGGGGCATGAGAGCAGGTGTTGGGCTGCCCCCTCCCCAAGATGGGCACGTACGGCACTGAGGTCAGGGGCATGCGGGCTGGAGGGGCTCACGGGCACCGAGTCTCCGGCAGCAGACGGCATGTACAAGACGGGGCCCGGCTGTGTGGGGCTGGACACGGCGGAGGAGGGCTGCAGGTCGTCACTGAGGGGGGGCTCTGGAAGAGGCAGGGTGGGGTCAGCAGGCTGCGGCCAGCCCCGCTGCCCACCGCATCCCGGCCCCTCTCCAGACGGACCACGCGAGCCCTACACTCAGGGCGGCCCCCCAGCTTCTGCCCTGTGGTGCCTGAGCCCTCACGGGGCCCGGCGCGCGCTGGGCGTCTGCACTGACCGCGGCCCCAGCTCAGACACAGAAACCAAGGTGCGGAGTCCAGGGCTGGGATTTGAACCCGGGCCTCCGGCGCCAAGCCTGCGTCACTGCTGCGCCTCCACTGCTGGCCACGGGGCCCCGGTGGGACCGCCGGGGTGTCGGGGAGACACCCCCTCATTTTTCATTCTAACTGGAGAGGCCTGACCCGGAGGACGAGGGCCACATGGGGCACCGGGTGGACACAAGCTCTAACTTGAGCCCCATCACCGAGCCAGCGTGCGCGCGGAGGGAGGGGCAGCCGGAGCAGCGCGTGGCCGCGCCCACGTGGGACACGTGGCCCGAGGCCAGGGCTGCAGCTGTGCCCGCCGCGCCGGAGACTGCGGACAGTTCCCGAAGATGAGAAAAATACCTGAGGCCTTTATATTGTTTTTGAAACGACAATTTCCATTAGGTAAGAAACACTGTTAGAGTTGACTTAACCTGTTTCTCTTCTTCTTGCTTTTACTGAAAGGCCCGGGGGCTCGTGCTGTTGGGCCAGACAGCTTGCGCAGCGGGGCTTCACTGGCGCTGAGTGAGGCCGCCGGGGGTGCGCCCCGCGGCTGCTGGGCCCCCAGGGACCTGGGCGAGTCGCTCCCCGCCAGGCACGGGCCCGACTGGGGCAGACGGCGGGCTGCCAGTGGGCACGGGGCCCTTCTGGCTGGGGAGGGGAGTACCCCGGGGTCCCGTGAAGAGCTTACGTTCTACGTGGGCGAAGGCGCAGAAGGGCCCGCGGGGACAGCTGCCTGACTGCTGCATGTCGTTGCACTTGGTAGACTTGTAGATCTGGCAGGCAGGGAAGAGCGGGGCCGTCAGGCGAGGACCCGGGGACGTGGACATGGCCAGCTCGGCCAGGCAGTCCCTGCCTCCGCCCCACACCACTTGTCCAGGCCCCCCACCTTCTCACGCCGACCCTGCACCCCATGCTGAGCCTGCCCTCGCCCATGCACGGCTTCTCCAGGCGCTCCCCACTCCTGGCCCCGGCCCCGGCCGTGACCGCCGACTGTGCCTCTGGGCACCCAGGGCGTCGAGATCACAGCCCGCACCCACGAGCCCCACGGCACGCTGTGGGGGATCCATGCCGCACCTAACTCTCCCACCTGCCGCCCAGACAGGCGCTGCCCGCGAGTCTCCCCACGGTCCTGGCCTCGGGGAGCCAGGGAAGGGCGGCCTGTGCCTCCATGGACCCGCCGAGATCTCGGCCCACTGACACGGCCTGGCCGCATGTTGGGCCAGGAACTGCCCTAGGGAGCCAGCTGGTACCCTAATCCCGAACTGGGCAGCCAGAGGGGCATTCTTATTGTAGAAACCCGGATGTCACTGGACTGTAAGCACCATGAGCGGTACAAAGGCTCGAACAGCCAATCACTGTGCCCCGTCCACGTCCTCCCTACCAGGAGGCCTGCGGGAACAAAACTGGGAGCAGGGGACACTGTGGGCCCAGAACAAGGAGCCCCCTTCCAGGACGGTGCGGGGCAGGCTCTGCCAACTTCTGCCAGGACCGTTGCCGAACGGGGATCAGCAGAGCCACCCACTCCCTGTGGGAAGCCAGCCCCACCCCGGGGCCCACCTCCGGGTGGAACTGCTGTTCCGTGCGGGTGTGGCAGTACTGGCAGGCGTCCCCGTTCTCACACTTGCCGGGGTCTCCCCACTCATCCCCGTGCTTGACGTTCGGACATGGTGATGACCTGCCAGATGGAGAGAGGTTAAGGTTGTGGGAGGCCGGGCGGACCCCCCGCAGCCCTTCTCTGGCCTCCCTAGCTGCAACAGCAGGCTCAAAAGCAGAGCAGCAGGGAGGGAGCGTCTCACTGGGCGGCACTAGGACCGTGTCTTGGCCCAGCCTGGTGGCGTCGCCAGGACGGCTTCAGTGCCTTCAGCCAGGCCCTCCCACCAGGCTCTGCAGCCGAGGAAGCCAGGCCAGCGATGGCGCTTTTCACGGCGTGGCTGGGCCCAGCAGAGGTCCCGGGACGGAGCTAGAGGAGCCTCAGACCACCTGAAGCAGGCAGGCCCCTATCCTGACTGGCCCCTATCCCCCTGCTCCCAGGGCTGGGCACAGAGGCAGCAGCCCCACGGGCCCCCGCCCCCGGGCCGGCCCACTCTGGTAAATAAGCACCTGTATTTGTGCTTCCGGGGGCTCCGCCGTCGGTCCTTGCTGTTGTGGTAGTACGGGCAAGCGTAGCCCTGGCGGCACAACCTCGGGGGTTTCCTGCACGGCTCCGTCTTATAGTTCCCCAACACGTACGTGGTCTCTGCACAGGGGCCGGAGAAGGGGTCAGGCAGAGGCGGCGAGGAAAGTGGAAGGAGGCCCCTGGCAAGTGGCCCAGGCGCCGAGGCTCCTGGGAGGGGCATGAACAGGCCATGCCTCAGAGGCAAGGCCACGACTGACCCAGTGGAGCGGCCACTGCAGACACAGCCCACAAGGAACTGGCACTCACCACGCCACGCAGGAGTACGCGTGGGCACAGGCACGGCCCCTTTACCTTGCCACCGCGGCTCCTCGCTGAGGGTCTTCTCTATCATGGCGTGGCTCGCGGCCCCGGCTGACTGGCCCTCGATGCTGCTGCCCTCGACTGTGGTCTGGCCGTTCTGCAACGCCTCCATGGCCTGGAGCTCCCTGAGGCAGGAGTGGGGGTGGGGGTCGGTGAGCGGCGTGTCCCTGCGCCCCCACGCTGCTCGCCGTGCGCCAGCCCGCAGCCATCGCCACGCAGCACGCGGCCCACCTGATGTCGTAGACCGGGGAGCGGAGGTCATGGGGCCCGTGGGCAAACGCACAGTGCAGGCCGTTTTTGGTGCAGTTGCCTTTCGAGTCCGTCTCGTGGATGCAGATTCCAGTTTTGTAGTAGCGCAGGTGGTACCTGCGCTCGGTGTCCCCTGTGGTCCTGTGCAGGAACGGGCACCTGGAACATGGCCCGGGAGTCACTGGCCTCTGCCCTGCGGCCTGGGCTCTGCCCTCCCCTGCTCTGGCTTTGCCCTCGACCCCGAGGAGGCCAGGAGGCCAGCCCTGCTCAGGCGCAGGGCCCCCCCCCAGCCAGACAGGGCTGAGGCCACGGGAGGCCTGAGGGGTCCGGTGTGCCCATGTAGCGGGCTCAGCAAGGCCTCTCAGCAACGCAGCCAGGGCCCGGGGCAGCCTAGAGAGATGCTCGGGGGGTGTGGGGGTGGGCAGCCTGCACAGACACGCACTGCCCAGCCAGCGGTCCTGTCGATGGCCTCTCACAAGGGCTGACTCCCACTGGGGGGCGGCGGGGTGCGCACAACTTGGGGCCGGGGCAGGCAGGGGGGCGTCCGGAGAGGCCCTAGCTGCCCGTCACCACCGCTGCAAGGTCACAGTGAGTGAGAAGCAGAGATGAGCGTCCAGACTGGCCAGTGTGCCCGCCTCTCCCCAGAGCTCTGTGGTAAATGCCCAGGGGAGGGGAGGAAGAAGGTGCAGGAAGCCAGCGGGGCGAGGCGGGGGCCCAGGCCCAGGCCCGGGAGGCAGCCCGGCCGCAGCAGCCTCCCCGCCTCTTCCACGCTGCGGCCTACTCGGAGGGCACCGGCCCGGGAACCCGGGGCTCCCTGGAGGCAGGCTGGGGGCACTCACTCGTCGCCCTCCGGGCAGAGGCCCGTGGCCTCGTCGTACTTGGTGCAGTAGACGTCGGGGCTATAGTTGAACGTGCCGTCCCGACGGCGGATGGACCGGCGGCGCCGCTGATTCACAAAGTGCCAGTGGAAGCAGGTGTAGGGCCGATGCTGTGTGCATTTGTGTTGCACGAAGAGCGGACACTGCTCCGTGCGGAACTCCTTCAGGTACCTGCAGGGAGAGCCGAGTAAGCCCCTCTTCCCAGCAAGAACTTAGCTCACGTTCCCGAGGGCCCTGCTCTGGGCTGGTGCGCCGGGAGGCCTCAGGGGCTGTCCCTGAGCCTTCAGTGAGGTTCCACGTGAGGAGCCATTCCCTGAGGCCCCAGTGGCCACACCCAGAGCAGGGCTGGGGTTCCAGGGTGAGGGCCGGCCACCCAAACCCCAAGATGTCTCTCTGGATAACTGCCTCCCACACGGCCCCAGTGCTCACCAGGGATGTGCATGCCCTCAGCTGGCCTGCCCAGCACTCACACGAGAGCCGATAGCAGCGGATGACTTACTCCCTAACTGACCATGGGACTTGGGGTCTCCTCTCAACCACCACCTCTCCCCTTTGCCCTGAATGTTAAGAGCAAAGACACCCGCTCACCCCGTCCGAGCACACGGTAGCTGCTCGGGGGGGGGAGGGGAGAAACAGGCAGTGCAGTTCTCGCTCCATTCTCTGAAGCCCTAACACGTGCAAGCAGATGATAGAAGGCATTTGATGCCAGCAAGGATGGTTCTAGAAGGCGAGGGTGTGTGAAGAAACCATGGGACCTGAAGCAACTCCCAGCCTGAGACCTCCTGGTGGGCGAGTCAGGACTTGCCCGCTGGGCACACAGGTGTCGGGAGCCAGGTGTGGGACGAGACTTTTAGGCACATGGAGAGCTGACGACCCCGTGCTTAGTGTGCACCTTGGGCTGGCCAGGGCAGCGGGGAGTTCCCCGGGAGCAGTGGGGAGTCGCACCCATCTGCACATCTCCCCGGAGCACCCCCCAGAGAGCACCACGGGAGCAGTGGGGAGTCGCACCCATCTGCACATCTCCCCGGAGCACCCCCCAGAGAGCACCACGGGAGCAGTGGGGAGTCGCACCCATCTGCACATCTCCCCGGAGCACCCCCCAGAGAGCAGTGCTGGAGACCCGGCCCGGCCTCCCCAGGGAGCCCACATTTCTTGGGAGACAAAACAGGTGGGGCGAATCGCGTGGGAGCTTACAAGGGAGGTTTGTTCCGGCTCTGAGAACCCGGAGGAAGTATCCTTGACCCAGGCGAAGGGAACAGCGTGACCTTAGAAGCAGAGTGTGTCTGGGTCTAAGAACCTGAAGTATCTTTGTGGGATACAAGAGGGGAAGGAGAAGTGGGGTACAGGAGAAAAGGTGAGGTGAGGCACCGGAGCCCACTTTAGGGTTACCACCACCGACCCAGGCCCACTCTGAGACACCGTAGATGCCTGGAAGGCCGGGCCAAGCGCTCCCGCCCCCTCGGCCTGAACAGGGACACCAACCCCCAAACTCGGCTGCTGACCCCTATCCCGGACAGCACCCCGACGCTGCTGCTGAGACTCACTCAGCAGATGACAGGTGGGAATGGCAGAGGCCGCCGAGTCAGGGCCCAGGCAGGAGTGGTCAGGCCGTGCAGAGCACCGCGTGTCCGCTTAGGACCCCAGGTGGGCACCAGTGAGACAAAAGTCTCGGGTATACCAAGTCGAATTATGAGAAAACCTGTAACTAAATGACCTGCTGCTTGTCTGGACGCACACAGGTGCCATACCTGCCAGTCCTGGCAACCCTGAGCACAGCCCTGTCTGGTGCCAGCACCCCCACGGCCACCCAGCGGGAATTAGGGCTCCAGTCGGGTGTGAGCCCCGGCTTTGGCATGGCTTTGTCCTCCTGAAGAAGGCACTGGCCAGCCTGCCTGCTTGGCCATGTCCACAGCACCACACATGGATGCTGTGGCCCGAGGGCTGCAGGTGGGTACCAGAGACAAGGCAGGACATCACCTCACGCGGAGCTCGCTTCCGTCCCACAGCCGGGCCGGGGCCTGGCACCTTCAGCCCTTCCCGTCCGACTTACGCTGCACACGGCTGTTCTTCCTGGAGCTCACAGTGAACTCAAAGCCTTATACACCGACAGCTCCCCAGGGACAACTGATAAGCACCCACTGCCCAGCCTGGCGCCCAGGCCCAAAGGGGCTTCTAGCCACATGGTTCTCTCCACGCCAGCCGGGGAGACTGGCGGTCTGGGCATCTGGCAAGCAGAGCTGTGACTTGCCTACCTTTGTCCTGTCCTCAGCTCTACAGCTCTCTGGGCAGTCAAGACTGACCTCAATGGCGTGGATGAAGTCTTCCCTGTGCGCCACACTATCCCCCCGGCCTGCGTCTGTCCCCAGGGGCGAGTAGTCATCTCTAAATTCACATCACTCACCTAGGCATTTCTTATAGCCCTTATCCTACTATATGTATTAAAAATGTGTATGTTTTTCCCTACTAGGTGATAAAGTCTTAATAACAAGCGTTTAAGTCGTCACTTGAACGAGAGGGTTAAAGCGCCATGTCTGCTGAGTGACAGGCAGAATCCACAGGGCAAAATTACCAGGCACCACCAGGCAGGGTGCTGAGAGTTAGAAGCAGTGTCCTTCCCTTGGGAAAAGCACTACGGTGCAGAAAATGGTAACTGGGGCAGGGGACGGCAGATGTTCCTGCAGAAAGCCCCCCGCAGGAAGGGGCTGAGAGAACCAGCAGAGAGCACACTTACAACCACCATGATCACCGTGAACTACTGCTAGGTCATCAGCAAACCAGTCACTAACCAGCCGCCCACGCCAGTTAGCATTCTGCAACCTCCCTCTGCCCCTCACCTGTGGAAAGGCACCCCAAGAGCCCAGAGGGCATGGGTCCCACCATGCAGACATCACACTTTGCTGTTTTCATGAACTGCGATGAAGCGCCCACTTTCTGTGGAAATGCACTCACCAGTCCCGTCTGAGTGTTCCCGCTCACAGGGTGACAGCACAAGAGCTCAGAAACCAACAGGCTGAGGCACACTCCTGCGTTCAGTCGGCTCCCAGGAAACCCAAGGTACAGGGCCTGGCCAAGGGCCAAGGGGCTAATCCCTCACACCCATCTCCCTGGAAGACCCACACAAGGGGCACAGCCCATGAGACAGGCTGGCTGCCTGCAGCATGGCACGGTCTCAGCGGCCAGGAGGCGGCGCACCTGCACAGATGGGGACGGGGACAGGGCAGGGGCAGGGGGGCAGCAACTGCAGAGAGCAGCCCCTGGCCGGAGAGCAGCCTCTGGGTGCGCCTGCTGCCGGCTTCAATCAGAGGTGCCCTCCACCCAGACTCACACTGTAAACAGCAAGCGTTACCGTGACAGAAACAGCCACTTACAACCACCTTGGGAAAGGCAGATCACCCTCGACCCACCATAGCTTTTTGGTAAATATTCCCCCCATAGTTTTACAGATGTGATCATAATGTAGTACACTGCTGAACTCTTTTATTAAACTACTAATGCTTTTCTTGAAAAACTTTTCAAAGTGCAGGGTTGTTTCAGCACTATGAAGCTATATGCAGCCACTGCCCAAGGAGTGACCACAGGGCGCAGGAGCCCTCTCCTGTCTCCCCACTGCTCCTCTCAGTAGACTTCAGTAGAACACCTTGCCTACCTCTGCTCTGTCCCCGTCTCGGGGACAGGAGAGGTCTGCCGCGCCACGTGGGTCAGCTCCAGGGCGGGGAGCGAACTCACGCTGAAGTGGCTTTAGCTTCTGAACCCACTGCACCACCAGAAGGCCCTCTTGAAATACCAGATAGTGTTTTAGGCTTTCAGGGCCAAAATGAGACGTTCTGTATCAACACGCTGAGAGAAGACAAATTCCCACAACTTTTTTTATTGATGAAATTTAAAACTGACAATGTTTGGTGACGCAGTCCACTGGTAAGAACGGACCTTTCGGGAAGTGTCGCAACTGCACCCTTCACTTGCCAGAGAAAAGGCAAAGGGCTTCAGGGAAACGAATCAAGTTCTGGGTACCAAACACTCCGCTCCTTCAGACACTTTCCATCATGGAAGTAAATTTTGCTCTCAAACCCCATGAACGAGGGGAAGGCAGACCGTCGCTCACACGCTGCTCAGCTCATGTGGTCTTTCCAGATCACCCGAGAACAGGCTGAAAAACCTGTCCAAGATGAAGCCCCGCCGTGTGAGCAGCTGCTGTCACAGCACTGTTCTTTAACGCTGTGCACAGCGCTGACCTCCTACCGTAGGCCCTAGGCCCTTGAGAAAGCCAGGCACCCCACTTCCCGGCGCCGCCTCCTCCTGCCTTGTTCTCCAGCTTTGCCGCTTCCCAGGAAGTCAGCACTAGGGAATCACTCTCATCCCTTCTCCCCATCCCAAATGCTTGAGATGATTTCCAGATTCGAATTTCTGGGCTTTTCAGTTTGACACCTAAAAGTCTTTCTGCTCTGAACGTTTTGAGCGCGCGAAGCTAGAAAGCTTGGCCTTGGCTCAACAACCTCGCCTCGTGTTTGCGCCTCTTACGAACGCCCATTCGCCCAGCTCACGGACAAAAACGAGCGAGCTACCAAAATCTCTATCTCCTAGGCAAGTCAGAGTTGGCCAATAATGTGCAAGTTCGCAGGCTCCACTCCAATCCTACTAGATGGAAATCTGGGATTTGGCCTCAGAATCTGCACTTTTAACGAATTCTACAGTGAATTCTTAAATACACTAAAACCCAAGAAACTGTTTAATTATAGAGGATTCGTCTTAAACTGCTCATCACTCGTCTAACGGACACTAAATATTTGTGTAATACAAAAGAAAATCACACTAATAAAAAAGGATTTTTGGGGTAGAGATAATAAAATCAACACATTGCTGTTCATCTGTTAGTGCTGACTCTGTAATAAGGTTTTACATTTTTCATCTTTAGAAACATATTTTACCTGGGCCCTCCCTGGGTGCAATGAGTTAAAGCCCAGCACTCAGAAGCTGGCCGCAGCCACCTCAGCATGAGTTTGATCCCCCACCAGGGTGGTGACCCCCAGAGCACGGCAGACCTCTCCTGTCTCACCCACCGCTCCCCTCAGCAGTGTACTTGATCAGTCTGCCTGTTCTGCTCCCCACTGTTTCTGGTGAATCCTCTCACTGCCCCTGTACCTCTGGCCTGTACCCCAGTTCTGCATGCATAA